AATCAATGCGCAAACAGCAATTAGGCCTTAACGTAGAAAGTTGCTGTCTTACCTGAAATCCTCTATTCACCCCAAATTTAAATGCATAGATCTGTTATATTACTCGCAAGACCCCGTTCGGAAATGACTGTTTTTGTTGACGTGTTACTTATTTACATTGTAATACGTATTTACTGTATCCAATACTCCACACCCAAACAGCACAACATACAGACCCAGCGGGCCATTCCAACAACTCAACAACCTCCTCGGCGGTCTGTCCGTAAAACCAACGCTTACCCCACCCTCCAAGCACGCTTATTGGTGCTTGGTCCCGTCATTCCCCCGAATGGCGTGCAGTGATTGGCTAGAAGCCTGTGTGCATAGGCGCGCGGAGGGAGGGAGTGTGCGCGGGAACAGCGGCAGCGCTGGATCTCGAGCTTAAACAGCTGATTTCGAAGAAATAACGTCAGGCCGCAAGCCGTGCGTATGACATCAGAGGTATCCGAGGCCTGACGCTGGGAAGGTACGTCAATGAATCGGCGAAGGAGGCTATTCAGCCCATCGTTCCTGCGCAAGTTTTATTCCTCAGTGCTAATCTCCTGTGTTTTCCTCATCCCTGCACCCCATTTCTATTCCAATAACCATCCAAAGCCTCTCTTGAATGCATTAATTGAACCTGCATTTCTAGCAAGTGCATTCCAGACGTAACTACGTACAGCCATAGAGTTGTACAGCACGGAAACGTTAGTCAAAGGAGAGCCAATGGATGTTATTCTGCTTGGACTTTCAGAATGCCTTTGACAAGGTACTGCACAAGAGGCTGCTGAGTAAGATAAGGGCCAATGGTGTTCGAGGCAAGGTACTTGCGTGGAAAGAAGATTGGCTGTCTGGCAGAAAGCAGAGAATGAGGTTAAAAGGGTCATTTTCAGGTTGGCAGCCAGTGACAAGTGGTGTTAGAACATAGAGCTGTACAGCACAGTACAGGCCCTTCGGCCCACAATGTTGTGCCGAACGTTTTACCCTAAACCTAAAGTCTGTCTAACCTCAACCCTACCCTATACTATCATCCATATGCCTATCTAATAGCTGCTTAAATGCCCCTAATGAGGCTGACTCCACTACCCTCCCCGGCAATGCATTCCATGCCCTTACCACTCTCTGAGTAAAGAACCTACCTCTGACATCTCCCCTATACCTTCCTCCAATCACCTTAAAATTATGCCCCCTCGTAATAGTCATTTCCACCCTGGGAAAAAGTCTCTGACTATCCACTGTATCTGTGCCTCTCATCATCTTGTACACCTCTATCAAGTCACCTCTCATCCTTCGTCATTCTAAAGAGAAAAGTCCTAGCTCTCTCAACCTTTCCTCTAAGACCTTCCCTCCATTCCAGGCAACATCCTGGTAAATCTCCTCTGCACCTTTTCCAACGCTTCCACATCTTTCCTGTAATGAGGCGACCAGAACTGGGCACAGTACTCCAGACGTGGCCAGACCAGGCTTTTTTATAGCTGGAGCATAACTTCACGGTTCTTGAACTCAATCCCTCTATTAATGAAAGCTAACACACCATATGCCTTCTTAACAACTCTATCCACCTGGGTGGCAGCTTTCAGGGAACTGTGGTGATGAACCCCAAGATCCCTCTGCTCCTCCACACTGCCAAGAATCTTTCCGTTAACCGTGTATTCTGCTTTCAAATTTGTCCTTCCAAAATGAATCACCTCACACTTTTCAGGGTTAAACTCCATCTGCCACTTCTCAGCCCAGCTCTGCATCCCATCAATGTTCCTTTGTAACCTAGAACAGCCCTCTGCACTATCCACAACTCGACCCACCTTCGTATCGTCTGTGAACTTACTAATCCATCCTTCCACTCCTACATCCAAATCATTAACAAAAATCACAAATAGAAGAGGACCCAGGACAGATCCTTGTGGTATACCACTCGTAACTGAGCACCATGTTGAATATTTTCCGTCCACTACCACCCTTTGTCTTCTAAGGGTCAGCCAAGTCTGAATCCAATCTGCCACATTTTCCCCCTATCCCATGCCTCCTTACTTTCTGCATGAGCCTACCATGGGGAACCTTATCAAACACCTTATGTAAATCCATGTATACCGCATCCACTACTCTACCTTCATCCACGTGTTTGGTCACCTCTTCAAAGAATTCAATAAGTTTTGTGAGGCATGATCTACCCCTCACAAATCCATGCTGACTATCATGAATCAAACTGTGCCTATCCAAGTGATCATAAATCCTATCTCTCAGAGCCCTTTCCAATAATTTGCCCACCACTGAAGTAAGACTAACTGGCCTGTAATTTCCGGGGTTATCCCTATTCCCTTTTTTGAACAAGGGAATGACGTTTGCCACTCTCCAATCTGCGCTGTGATCTCTTCCCTCGCCTCCCATAGAATCCTTGGATAAATCCCATCAGGCCCGGGGGACTTATCTATCTTCAACTTCCTCAAAATTCCTCATACATATTCCTTACTAACATCCACCTCCTCTAGCTTACCAGCCTGTTTCACACTGTCCTCCCCTATAACTAGGTCCCTCTCAGTTGTGAATACCGAAGAAAAGTATTCATTAAGGACCTCTCCTATCTCTTTAGACTCTGTGCACAAATTCCCTTTACAATCCTTGATCGGCCCTACCCTTTCTCTGGTCATTCTCTTATTCCTCACGTACGTGTAAAAAGCGTTGGGGTTTTCCTTGATCGTATCTGTCAAGGTTTTCTCATGCCCCCTTATAGCTCTCCTAAGCCCTTTCTCCAGCTCCTTCCTGGCTAACTTGTATCCCTCTAGAGCCTTTTCCGATCCTTGTTTCCTAAACTTTACGTAAGCATCCTTCTTCCTCTTAACCAGTTGTTCGACCTCTCTCTTGAGAACCAGGGCTCCCTCAATCAACCGCATCTTCCCTGCCTGCTAGGGACAAACATATCGAGCACACGCAGTATGCATTCCTTAAACAATCTCCACATTTCTATAGTGCTCTTCCCTGACAGCATCTGTTCCACAAGAGTCAGTGTTGGGACCACAACTTTTCACTTTATTCATTAAAGATGAAGGAGCTGAGGGCATTCTGGCTAAGTTTGCAGATGGTACAAAGATAGGTGGAGGGACAGGTTGTTTTGAGGAGGCGGGGAGGCTACAGAAGGATTTACACAGGTTAGGAGAGTGGACAAAGAAGTGGCAGATGGAATACAACATGGGAAAGTGTGAGGTCATGCATGGTAGGAAGAATAGAGGTGTAGATTATTTTTCTAAATTCAGAAATCTGCAGTGCAAAGGGACTTGGGAGGCCTAGTCTAGGATTCTCATAAGGTGAACTTGCAGGTTGAGTCAGTAATTAAGAAGGCAAATGCAATGTTGGCATTTATTTAGAGAGGACTAGAATATAAAAGCAAGGATGTACTTCTGAGGCTTTGTAAGGCTCTGGTCAAACCACATTTAGAATATTGTGAGCAATTTTGGGCCCCATATCTCAGGAAGGAAGGAGCAGGTCCAGAGAAGGTTCACAAGAATGTTCCTAGGAATGAATGAAAATTAACATACGTGGAATATTTGAGGATTCTGGGTCTATACTTGGTGGAGTTTAGAAGGATGAGGGGGGATCTAATTGAAACTTACAGAATAGAGTGGGCCTGAATACAGAATAGGCCTGAATAGAGTGGACATTGGGAAGATATTTTCATTAGCTGGAGAGACTAGGACCTGAGGGCACAGCCTTAATGGGAAGACCCTTTAGAATGGAGATGAGGAGAAACTTCTTCAGCCAGAGAGTGGTTGAATCTATGGAATTCACTGCCACAGAAGGCTGTGGAGGCCAGGTCATTGAGTATATTTAAGACTGAGATAGATAGGTTCTTGATTGTCAAGGGGATCAAGGGTTGTGGGGAGAAAGCGGGAGAATGGGGTTGAGAAATCTATCAGCCATGATTGAATGGTAGAGCAGTCTGGATGGGCTGATTGGCCAAATTTCTGCTCCAATGTCTTACGGAAGCAGACCCTTTGGTCCAACTCATCCATGCAACCAGATATCCTAAATTAATCTAGTCCCATTTGCCAGCATTTGGCCCATATCCCTCTAAACTCTTCCTATCCATGTCCCCATCCAGATGCCTTTTAAATGTTGTTATTGTACCAGCTCCCACCCACTTCCTCTGGCAGTTCATTCCATACATGCACCACCCTCTGTGTGAAAAAGTTGCCCCTTAGATCCCTTTTATATCTTTCCACTGCCAACTTAAACCTATGCCCTCTAGTTTTGGACTCCCCTGCTGTGGGAAAACAACTTTAGCTATTCACCCTATCCATGCCCCTCATGATTTTATAAATCTCTGTAAGGTCACCCCTCAACCTCCGATACTCCAGGGAAAATAGCCCCAGCCTATTCAGCCTCTCCCTATCGCTCACACCCTCCAACCCTGGCAACATCCTTGTAAATCTTTTTTGCATCCTTTCAAGTTTCACAACATTTTTCCTATAGCAGGGAGATCAGAATTGTATGCAGTATTCCAAAAGGAGCCTCACCAATGTCCTATACAACCGCAACACGACCTCCCAACTCCTATACTCGATGCACTGACCAATAAAGGCAAGCATACCAAACACCTTCTTCACCGCCCTGTCTACCTGCGACTCCACTTTCAAGAAACTATGAACCTGCACTCCAAGGTCTCTTTGTTCAGTAACACTCCCCAGGACCTTACCATTAAGTGTATAAGTCCTGTCCTGGTTTGTCTTTCCAAAATGCAGCACCTCACATTTATCTGAATTAAACTCCCTCTGCCTCGACCCATCACGCCATCTAATCAAGTCCTGTTATACTCTGAGGTAACCTTCTTCACTGTCCACTACACCTCCAATTTTGGTGTCCTCTGGAAATGTACTAACCATTTCTCCCATATTCACATCCAAATCATTTATATAAATGCCTAAAAGCAGTGGACCCAGCACCAATCCTTGCAGCACACCATTGGTTACAGGCCTCTAGTCCGAAAAACAACCCTCCACCACTACCCTCTGTCCCCTACCTTCAAGCCAATTTTGTATCCAATTGACTAGCTCCCCCAGATTCCATGTGACCTATCCTTGCTAACCAGTCTACTGTGTGGAACCCTGTCAAACACCTTACTGAAGTCCATACAGACAGCATCCACCGCTCTGCCTTTATCAATTTTCTTTGGCATTTCTTCAAAAAACTCAATCAAGTTAGTGAGACACAATTTCCCAAACACGAAACCATGTTGAATACCCCTAATCAGTCCTTACCTTTTCAAATATATGTAAATCCTGTCCCAACAACTTACCCACTGTCATAAGGCTCACCAGCCTGTAGTTCCCTCGCATTTCCTTACCATCTTTCTTAAATATTGGCACCACATTAGTTACCATCCAGTCTTCTGGCACCTCACCTGTGGCTGGCGATGATACAAATATCTCAGCAAGGGGCCCAGCAATCACTTCCCTAGCTTCCCACAGAGTTCTGGGATACACCTGATCGGGTCAT